GGTGCAGTATTCGGAGGCTGGTGGCCGCACGCCATAACATAATTATTTAGCTGCCTCTGTGTGAGTATCTGGGTTCAGGATGATATTCTTGCATGGATATCTGTTGTGATTGGAGAAGCTAGAGCTCTGTCTTCAATATGTCATAATTTCTTGAGCCTGCAATCATGTCTGAGTGTTAGTTAATGTATTTTTGTCCTGATCTCATTTAACATGCAGGACAGCACTTTTCTCCACACTCATCTAAAGCTAGCTGTGCTGTGCTGACCCTTGGTGTGCTGTCATCACAGTGTATGTGGAAGGGCACTATTTCAAAATTAGAGAGAGCGTGGTGGAGAAGATAGATGCTAGCTTCAAGCAGACGACATCATTCAGGGAACGATTTTATCTAAGGTTAATGGAAGATCAGACACAGTATCTATCAGCTGAAGCAAGATCAAAGTAATCTGTTAAGCATTGAGACCTATAACTCTGTTCCTGAAATGTCATGATATACTGATGATGTACTTGCAATATTTTGGTAGTGTTTGACAGGTAGTGTTTGACTGTTTATTGACACAAATATGCTCTGTGCTGCTCTAAGTATCAATTTTTCTATTCTTGGATGGAAATCAAAGGTTTGGGTAAGGAGAAGTAAGTGAGAGAAAGCATGTAATACTTGCAAAGAGGTAATACACATAACAGTGGCTGAGTAAACAGGAAAGAGAATGGCCCCTGTAGCTGTGGTGGGTTAGCCCTGGCCAGCAGCCAAATGCCTACCCAGCTGCTCCGTCCCCCATGCCACTGATGCAAGGGGGAGTAAGCAGCTGGGTACGCGTTTGGCTGCTGGGATGGGAAATAGGGTGGGAAAGCTTGTGGCTCAAGATAAAGACAGGGAGACTGCTTATCAATTACTGTTGCAGGCAAAACTCAGCTTAGAGAAAATTAATTTATTGCCAATTAAAATAGATTTGGGTAGTGAAATGGAAGACATTAAAACAACACCTTTCCTCCCATTTTTTCCACGTTCAACTTCACTCCTTCATTCCTGACACCTCTAGTCGCCCCCTGCTCCGAGTGGCATGGGGGGTGGTGGTGTTTGTGGTCAGTACCTGTAGCAGTTTTTTCTCCCCACTCCACCTCCTCACAGTTTTCCCCTGCTCTGACGTGGGTTCCTCATGGGCTGCAGTCCTTCAGGGAAAAATCTGCTCATTGTGGGTGCTCCACGGGCTGCAGTTCCTTCAGGACTATCCCCTCTCCTCCACGGGCTGCAGGGGAGTCTCTGCTCTGGCACCTGGGGCACCTTCCCCCCCCCTCCTTCTCTGACCCTGGTGTTCACACAGTTGTTTGTCACTTGTTTTGTTCCTCCTCCTCCGCCTTTACTGTGTTTTCTGCCCTTTCTTGAATATCTTTTCGCCGCCAGGCTCAGCTCTGCCCTGCGGTGGGGCTGTTGCGGAGCTGGCTGGAGCCGGCTGAGTCCAGCTCGGGGCAGCCCCAGCCTCTCCTCAGAGAGGCCGCCCCTGCAGCCCCGCCCTGCCAGACCGGGGCACTGCACCCAACATGGCAGCCCAGAGTGTCTGAGTTAGGCCCTGGGTAGCTCCTGCCTTCATCAATACATTTTTTTTTGGTACCTGTGGTTCAACAAATATACTGAAGTTTTTGTCCAGATGAAAAGATTAATACCCCCTGGCTGCAGTCTTGTGGCTGAAAGCGTTTTCTGGTTAAAATATTTTGTATTATCTTTGTATTATTTGTGAGAGCAAGACGTGAGCACGTGGTGAGCTCTGCACCATCTGAAAGGTGCTGATTCGTGAACTGGGTTGTCCACCCCTTCAGTGAGGCCACCATCTTTGAAAGAGGGACCTGCTTTTAAAAACCACCTTGCAGAGTCCTTAATCTAACTGCAGGATTTTTAAGAAGTACTGATTATAATGGGCTGTTCAGTGGTATTTGTGTTGTATAGGAAGTCCTAAGGAATTACTTGATAATGTTATGATATTATGCAACATGGGATAACGACCCCTTGTCAAGGATTTGTAAGCTTTGCCTGAGAATTGCTGTGAATTCCTTAAGCCTTTCTGTAGGGGTTTTTGACATAGTGTAATACACTTTCATCTTCTGTGAGAATGCAGAACAATGTACTTGTGTTTGTACAGGGTAGTTGTTAGGAAGGAAAGTAAAAAACTGGGAGATCTGTTGGATTAAATAGTGACTGTCGACAGATTTCTTTGCTGGAGAGCTACTTTGGAGCGAGGGTGTATTCATTCACTCTTTCTCCCACATTTTTCTTTATTAAGGTGCAGTTCAGCTGAGATTGAATTCCTCTTTGGCAGTCCATAAACTGTGAAACAGAAGGATGCAGAAGACTATCCCTTGCCTTTTTGTACATGAGTGATAAGAGCACAAGATCATTACTAGAAGTTTGCTGCAAAGATGAGTTCAGAGGAGAAGAGTATATCTCCAGCTCACAAGACGTCCACTCCATCACATAGAAGTGCCTCCTCTTCATCATCTTCTCAGAGGGACAGGAGGCAGGTAAGGAAAAGATCTAGACATTTGTAACATCTGGTGAAATGATTCATTTATTCCTGTAATGTGGCTGTTAGTTCTCTCTAGCTCTAAATTCACTTGCTTATAGCATTGGATGACATCATTATAGCCAAGAACTGTTGATTTTTAAAAAAAATTTTTTCCCCACTTTCTAAAGTGGTTTGAAAAAGATTCAGAAGCAACATGGGCACTATGTGTCGTGCTGGAGTGGGAAGGATATAATCTTGTGGACAAGTAGGAAACATGCTCTGAAGTCTTTTGGCAAGTGGTTTCTTTGGCAGCATGAACCTACAGTTTCTTCAAATTGTTTTGTGTCCTCTGTGAATATCTCTTTTTGTAAATCTAACTACAGAGATGTATTATCTTTTTACAAGGTGATATTTCAGTTCAATTGAAATATCACATCATTCATCCTGTATGGAAGCACCTAACATTTTAAATATTATTTGGTTTACTACAAATTTACACTGATTGTCCCACGTCATATAGTACTAGTCCAGTTATGTTAGACTTCCATTTTCAAGAGACCCTTGTATATGTGGATGTAATACGTCTTTTCTCCAGGATCTGTTTGAGATGAGGGCTGTATTATTTCCCCTCAAAAGAACTTAGGTATTCCTGTGTTTTTTTGAGGGCTGGCTGTACAGTCTGGCTGCAGCGTCAGTGGGAGCACTTCCGAAAGTATCAGAGCTACCCACTAGATTTCAGATAGATAGGTTGTTACATGTATATTTACAAATGCAAAGCTTGATACTGAAAATTTGATTAGAACAGAAACATACTTTAAAACTTTGATCCATGGAAACCTTGAACACTAAATCAGCTTCTGAGTTAGTTTAACATCATCATGTTTAAAAAAGAAATGTACAAAATATAAGAATATAACAACTTTATAATTTAAAATATTGTGAAAATATTTTCATTAATGCAATACTGGCTTCTTTTCAGCTTGACAAGGAAAAGAGGCAGGAAAAGAACTTAAATAATTGTTTTCTGTGGTATGCATTTACTTGAATCACTGTAGCTTAAGAACGTTTTCCCAGCTATTTGTATGCCAGTGGTGACACTGTTTTCTCAGCTGCTGCTGTAGTAGGTTTTTTCCCTTACCTGACTTATAAAAATTTTGAAAACTGAGAATTTTGATGAAAACTGTAACATTTACAGCTTTGAATGTAAATAGTCTCACCATAAGATATGTTTTAAATGTTAAACCAGGAGAAGAATTCTGATGTATGTTTGATAACAGGGAGGAGATGTGTCTGGAATTTTAAAAATAATTTTCATTGCTTTTCAGTGAAACCAAAAATGATAAATACTTTCCCTTTCATGCTGTACAGGATTTGGGGTAGCTGTAATCAGTGAAGTCCTGGTTAGCATATGATCTCCTCTTAATTTTTCATTAGTTCCATCTGGAGCAAGAATTTTGACATCTGTTGTTTAAAGCATCAGTATATTTTATCTCCCGCATTTAAACCCAAAGAAGGTGAATGCAAGACTTGTAGGAGCTGCTGAGCTCAGCTAAGAGCATATCCTCTGAGTTCTCTTTGTATTTAGGTAGTTTGGTACAATTGTGCAAGTGAGAACAAAAAAAATTACCTTTTGGGAACACGTTTTACCATAAATCTAATGGCTACCGTATCTGTTACCATAGCAACAGGGTAGAGCAAGGTATACCTGTCATCGTAATGAAATGGATGCTTAACTTTAAGTCCATATTTGGTCGCTGAAATGTGAAGCATGATTTTAAAATAAAGCTGAAGAGGTCGATGGTGTGATGCATCCAGAGCTCTCTTGGATCCAGTAATGTCTGATGATGCTTAACAAATATATTTAGGCATGTGAATGTGGGCTGGAAAGGCTACTGCTAGGCATTCATTTTTTTGCCTCAGTGCTTTCAGTGTTAAAGGCAGAGAAATATCCAGGAGAATGAATGGATGGGCAATTTCTTCTGCAGTGAAACTGAGCTACAGTGTGCAACACATCGTGAGGTGCAATGGTACTATATCCAGGGAAATAAACATACAAATGTTTCCTTTGTGCACGTAGACACAATAAATCAACCAGCTTCATCGTACCATCTACTATAACAATTGTATTTCTAATTTCTTTCCTTTCTTGTGGCATTATTTGTATATGTTTTGGTTTTCATAGGCTTTCCCCCAAATGCAATGATAGCTAGGGGGTAGGGGATTTTGGTTTGCGGGCTGTTGGGTTTTACTTTACTTTACTTTGAAAAGGCTTGAAAATTCTGTCTTGCTGCCTCCTTGGACTCTCCACAGCAGCTAGGAGAAAAGCACCCCTCCTGAAGAGGCAATATGTATGGATATGGAAAGTGATGTGACTGGATGAAGTGTCAATGTAGCTTTCATTGTCATGTGTGAAGATAACACTTGATATTTCTAGATGGTTAATGACTGAAATCTTCTCATCATATAATTCTTGTCAAAGTCATACGAGCAATTATGGAACAGTTTTCCAATAAATTATGGCGCAGGAGGCTGAATGAGTGTGAACATGACTGTGATAAATCATTTCAGGGAGAGTGGAAAATGTCTTGCTGTATATAATACTGGCATTTTAATGTAGCTTTCTTATTTGTGCAATATACATTACCTAGGAGAACTAGCAGTCAGCAAAAGCTTTGACATTGCCAATTTGCAGGCTCCATGACTAAGTAATTGATAAAGGAACAGACTACTGAAGCCAGCAATAACCAAAAAACTGGGTTCAGATTTTTGTCGTCATAGGAACTTCAGCGTCATTCATTTTCGTCAAAATCGTGGTTAATTTGGACTATTAGATAGAAGAAGGCCCAGGAGCAACCTGTTTTGTTTAACCCGTGAGCTGAGCAGGGTGGCAGGGCAGTTGTGGTGTCCTTGGTAAGGAATACTTTAGAATGGAGCAGGAGCAGTTTTTCCTACGATGGAGCTGTTGCAGAGCATAGAACCTGTCACTTCCATTGTCAGGGGATCTCCCTGAGAAAACTAAGAGTCCACATACAAAGGTGAGCATAAAAACTGCAATTTGGACAGCCTTTTCTGTGGGCCATGCTGGAAAGGGAGATTCTTGTTTTTCATCCCTCGTATGAAACTCTGAAAAGGCTAGTCATATTCTGTTGCACAACAAAAAGGAGGAAAACTAACACTGTTTTTATAAAGTACAGCTGAATATGATAAAGTCATATGCTGTGTATTCGGTTTGATGGGTATAAGTTCTTTATAAATATTCCATATTTTATTTATTGACTAAGTATGCAAGTCATACTGCAGACTGTAATACGTTCTATATTCTCTGCAATGCATGGGTAGTAATACTGTGCTGAGAAGGCAGAAAGAAGTAAATACATTTATAGGGTTAACAATGTGCAGTTTGGCAAATTGGGGCAAATTGAGGCTATTAAATAGAGGGAGTGATACAGAATAATGAAATGTAATAATGAAACCGTGAACAAAGGAGTCATTTTGACTTTTCTGACTACCATCTAAAGGGTAGCTAATACATGATGTGAAGTGGATTTAGCAATGTCTGCTATTTTAAATGCAAGGATTTCTCTTCTAATATCTCAGTTTTCTTTTTGGTCTTTTAGGGGGGAGGGATGATCAGCTGTTATCTCTTTCTCTCTCTGTTTCTGTGTCAGGTTGCTGTTTCAAAAAATCTTTGGTTCTTTTCCCACACAGCAAACACAAAAGGAGAAAAGCTTTTAGTCCTATTGCATTTAGCCTTGTGTGGTCACCTTTCTACTAGGAGAGCTTTCATATTTCAAGTGACTATTGTCTTTCAGCCATATGTAAAGAGTGAAAGATAGGGGCTTTGAAGGAAAAAGAAAAAAGATTTTCCAGAGCAGCAATCATCTGCTTTTCATATTTTAATGTTTTGGTGTTTTTTTGTTGTGGGTTTTTTTTTTTTTTCTTTCTGTAAGAGCAATATTGACTAACAGGAGAAGGGGTGTACTCAAGGGATGCAGAAAGGGCTGAGTTTGGGCTGAAGATTTTTACCTGCCTTCAAATTCAGGAGCAGAGCGCAATTCCAAAGTCAAGGCTCTGGTTTTGCCTACAGGTCTGTGCTGGAAAATGTCTAGTTACCTTTTTATAACCACTGTATTTTAATTGTCAAAGTAGTCTCCTGAAAGCAGTATTTCCTAAGGCGGGTATCACCATTTTGTACATATAAAGGCTTTAATGATGATGGAAGGATTGAGTCATTTGTCTGCAGCAACCTTAACCAAACCTTACTTTATAGAGTAACTGGAAGCCTATTAAAAAGTTATTGCAGTAGGTGAATCTGGGAGCGAAATATATGGTACCTGAAAAAAAAGGACTAATAATTGTTATTTGGATATAGGGATGCAGTAGAAATCTAGGCCTCACAGTGCCATGCACTGTATTAAACACTTATAAAAGGCAGTTGCTAGCATAAAGTGCTGATTAGATGAGACAGACATAGATTGGGAGCAGAAAGAGAGAGAGGTGACTTGTCTGTTGTCTCTTTCATCCGCTAATGATAAAGCATAATGAGAAGTAATGTGCATAATAGGAAAATATCATGGGTTCTATATCAATTCTAGAGTTTCATGCTTTCAGCTAACATTAAGAAGAGTAAAAGTAGAATTATGAAGGGAAGTCTCTTGGCTAAGAAAACTGCCATCAAGTTTTTCCCAGGAGATAATGAGCTGCAAATTTTTCATAGATGTACTGCAGGGACCATCAGGTTCTGTGAAGCTGAGTTCACATGGGCAATCTGCATGCCACAGCAAGAGGGTGGTGCAGGAGGGAGAAGTAAGAAGTGCCAGGAGTGGAGTGCTCAGCGTTGAAAACAAAAGGTACTTGATTTAGAGAGTGAGACTCTTGGTCAGGAAATGAATAGGTGAAAGAAATGAGTATGGGAGAGAGAACTGGGTGGGCCAAATGCTTTGTGAGGTTGTAGGACTTGAAACGAAGAAGCAAGGACTGGTTTGTAGGGAGAACAACAACTGGCTGAAAAAGTAA